ATCTATCTATCTATCTATCTATCTATCTATCTATCTATCTATCTATCCAGTTCATCTGTTTATCGCTTCTACAGGAGCATCATGTCACACATTTTGACCAAAGACATAGCACTAAACCAGCATATGCTAGGACCTTCTGTTCAGAGAACGGCCTCTCTCCATTTAGCTGACCTGATGCATACGTATCAATATCGATGCAATTTCCTCTTTCCATCCATCCATTTTCTATACCACTTATTCCCAGTAGGATTGGAGATTGTTCCAGTATTTTGGCGTGAGGTAAAGTACACTCCACACTGCTTAACAGCCCAACACACGAACAAGACACACAACCGCTCACATTTGCATGCAATGTTAGAAACACGACTTCATGTAACTTTAGGCTGTAGAGGGAAGCCAGAGGACCTTTAAAAAACATATAAAATCTATACAGAAGACCACAACCAGGATCTAAACCTTATTTCTGTGAGGTCATACTGTTAAACTGGATGCACTTTTTTTTAAAGATTTTGAGCAGCTCTTTCTTCACCTTACAGAGGCAAGAACTACTCCAAAATGTGTCATAAGAGAGACTTATCAATATCAACTGACTTGTTGTTAAGTCTTTATTGTCTTTGGATAACCTTCTTTGCTTTTTAGTAATTGGTTTATGTAATTATATTAATTTTCAACAAAAATATTGTTAAGACACTCAAATAATTAGTTTCTATACTTTCTCAACTGAAGCTGCTAAAAAGCACACATAGCAAATGGCATCAAACTTTATACTCTGCTAGTATTCTGTAAACATTAGCACAATGTATTGATTATTCCTTGGTAAACTACACATATTTGTTGTACCTTTGTACAAAATGGGGGTACAAATGGATGGAAGGGACATTGGGCTCATCTATCATAAGTTGAGGTCTCATGACTCTTTCACACTCTCAGCCTTCAATGAGTAGAAGTACTTTCTGAAAGAATTTAGTAAATGATAAAGTCATGCCCAGCTGTCGTCAAGAACAAGGACAGAGCTCCAGACCTGAAACTGTACTGGACTTCAAGCAGTGGAAACCTTTGTTCTCAGCTAACACTAAACTCCACTTTTATACTGTCATCTATTGTCAGGGCCAGAGTACCTTATTGACAAGTGCATTGATTTTCTGATTAATGGACCTTTTCACCATTGGCGTATACTGCTGCAGACATCATTTTAACGGGCGCCTGATCAATACTTCCATCAACACTGAAAATATCCCACCGTCAAGCCACAGGAGATGTGTCCGGGGATGTGTTTCTATCTGTCTGATAACAGTGAGGTCCTAAAAAGAACACTGTTGTGGGTGTAACAGTGTCTAAACAAAGGACATGCCATTGCTTTATTTAAGCGATAACAAAATAACATATTTTACAATCACCAAAAGCAGTTATAAACACTTAGCGTAGGTGCCAGATGCTTATTTTATGCTTAGTTTTGAATTTACTCGTTTATGTGTATTTGATATTTCATTTACATTCATGAGTGACATTAATAATTCAAGTTAAAACATATGTATAAGGTTAAAAATGTGAATTCGAAATAATTACAGGACATTACTAGGTGGGCCTTTAATGATGTTTT